ATGGCAGGGGGGTTGGAACTAGGTGATCTTTAAGGTCCCTTCCAACCCAAACCATTCTATGATTCTATGATTTTAACTAAGGTCAGAGTATGACTTAGTGAGATATAAAAAGGATTTGTGCAGCCCTAATTTTAAGCCTTGTGAATGCATGGGCAGTTTTTGGTTATGTGATGGCACCCGGCTATTTCCGTGAGTCCCCTGCCTACTTCTGAAGATACAGCTGGAGCTGCAAGCCCTGGGCAAATGCCTTATTCAGCATCTTGGTTTTTCCCTGCTGTTCCATGTTTGGCCCCGGGCTTTTCTTTATGGCCCACTACTGATATCCTACTGAAGGAGTTTGTCATTTCCTCACACACTTTTTCTGTTTAGCAGTGTCAGGCTTGAGGGTTTGACAAACAGTTTGGGAAACGTTCCCACTTCTTTACAGGAAGAGAGTTAGAACAAGAAGACAAAGGATCTTGAGGATTTTACAGCTTTGCTGCTGAGATATCTTCATTCTATGTAGTATTTAATAGACTGGAAATATGTTTCCCTTTTGCTGTGAGTGTTCATTAGTTTTGCTTGGGAGAAGCCAGGGTTTCAGGTCAGTTAGGAACTCGCCATTAATGGCCACTTGGGAAGTGCTGGGTTTAAATGGCTGCATTGGTGCTGTGTGGCCGCTCTCCAAGTCATGGCTTGTTTGCCCACGCGCTGAGAGGGGTGGCAGGGAGCAGTGGGGTGGCTGCTGTCTTTGCTGACAACAACCCTGAGAGTTGTCCTGTGCTCTCATCCCGTTGCCCTGATGTGCGGCTCCAGTAGGTTCCATGTGCCAAGTGGCAGGTGAATGCAGTGCTTGCCCACCGCGTTTCCATCCCTTTTCAGTGCTTCAACTCACCAGTGTTCTCTCTTATGATGTAGCTTTGGTTACACCAAAGAAAAAAGAAAGGAAGCAAACAAATGGCAAACAGCGTCCACTGGCGTTGTGGAGGCTTGAACACAATACCTTGGCAGTGCTGCAGCTGGGCAGTCACCACACAGACCTACCGCCGCCCTCCATGTTTAACCAGGATGTCTCTCTCTTCCCATTCTACCTCCAATTTTCTGTCCCTGTTAAGTGAAATTTCTTGTTTTGATGTCTTTTTCCCTGCCATCCCCTGGCCCAGCTCTTGGACGCTCAATGTTGAGCACAGATGGTTCCGGGCTGTGGGGACAGCAGCAGGGAGGTCACTGGAGCAGGGGAGAGGGTTGATCCCTGTCCTTGCTTGGGAAGTGGCCCTGCCCAGTCAGGAGCAGATGCCAGAGGCAAAGGGCCACCTCACTCCTCCTCAGCCCTGGCCTAGACCATTCTCTAGGTGGTCTTGTGTGGTACCTGGCTAGTCCCAGGTTTGAAACCTCTGTTCCAGAGGTTTCCAGAATTTGTTGAGTTGTTCCACTACATTTTTTGGGAATGGCTCAGTCAGACCACTGTGACTGAAACCTTGCAACAAAACTTTCTGGCAGGCATCCATGTCAGTGATGGACAGAGTATGCCAAATGCCCGAGCCCTGGAATTGCGGGAAAGGTATCACAGCCATATCCCCCTCCCCATGCTGCGTGGCTGTGCTTACTTCATGTGCCCTTCTGGAAGTAGGCAAGGGATCACCTACAGATGGTTGAGTTGCATTTCCTTAAGTGAAGGGTTTTGTTTGGTTTGTTTTCAGAGAAAGTAACGAAATACTGATATTAATGGCATTTCCAGTACTGAAAATCCAGTTGCATTTTTTTCTTTGCTTATGATGTGTCTTCTGGCCATCCAGAGAGGCTGGTGGGGTTTTTTTGAGGTTATATCTGCAGTTGGGTTTCTACCATACAGGCTTTTTTCTTTCTTATTTAAGTATGGAAATTTCTTATGTGAAGCTTAAAGCTACTAATACATGAAGTGGGGAGTAAACACAGACACTAAAAGACCCTTTCGAGAATTTTAAGCAGAGTCACTACTTAAATAATGCTGTAGGTGCAAAGTTCAGGGAAACTGCGCGATTAATTTACTGTCGATGTAATTTTGCAAGTATTGTTTTTACATCACTGCTGTGGTTATTAGTGGCAGGTATTTACTGTTGAAACTGAAAGAAACGTAAGCAGCTCTCTCTTCCCTTGTATTTCTGCTTTTGGTGGCACTGAGTATCTGCTTGGCATTGGTCCAGATGGGATGCCTCGGGGTGAAGGCAGAGGATTTGGGTGCAGGAGAGCTGTGTTCTATGCAGCTCTACAAGGGATGGGCTATGGTACCTCAGCTGCCCCTTCAAACTGTTCTTTCTCGCTTCTGTTTGGTCACTGAGCAATTTTGAGGGAAGGACTTCTTCCTATTTAATATCATTATGACACATGGCAGGAAAAAAAAACCCCACAACAACTAAATACCTGCTGGGAAAACCAACTGCTGTAGAGCAAATAATAGATAATCAAATGCAGTTAATCAATTTTCTCTTTTGTGTTGTTTTTCAACATAGAGCGATGAGGCAAGAGAGAAGTTTTTAAGAACAGAAAAATGTGATTGCGAAAACGTCATTGTTGGCAGGAGGACTCGGTGGATTCAGGTAATAAAGTGACACTGCTTTTTATTACGCTTTAGAAACTGTCTGTGTTTCAAGCTGACAGTGGCCCTTTGTCAGGGACTGAGGAGTAGAGGAAGGTGACAAGGTATAACAAGACCCAGTGGCTGGCTGTTAAATTAATTCAGACCAGGTGAGAGGGTGTGAGTGTTCCCGCAGCATGGGTGATTGCTGAATAAGACAATGTTGCTGGGGCTGTGGTAGCTTCCTTCCTTATGTCAGGCTGTTAAGTCTGAGGCTGTTCTTTTGTTTTGTTTTTTGTTTTGGTTTGGTTTTGGGTTTTTTGTTTTTTGTTGTTTTTTATAATGTCTTTTTTTTTACCCTAAGAGATTCTCTAATTCAGCCTCTTAGAGCTGTGCTGATGTAGGTGGGAAAGCTCCATGCCTGTTTTATGGAAGAAGGTCAAATGATGAGCTGTCCCTTCAGACTGCACAATTCAGAATCTATGAATATTTCCCTCAAATTTTCCCTTTTAAAAGATTTCTGGATCAGAGATCATTATCTGCTAAAAGACCCACAACTAGACCTTTACTGCTTTAGAGGACTATGTGAATGAAGAGAATTTCTTGTTGCATGGCTGCAGGAAACCTGATATGTGTGATGTTTAAGCATGCAACTAATATGTTTGCAATGATCTTATCTTAAAATAATGGACTTTAACATATTTAGAACCTATTTTGTAGGAAATGTAAGTTGCTAGCTAAAATGCATCTCTTATGTTTTTAATCATTTTAATTATTTCCCTCACTGAGGGGGAGTGGAAGATGAAAGGGGGGAGTTTACAGTGCTAATTGCACTGCACATTCATAATTGGGGCCAGATCCTACCCTCAAACTTCTTAGGCAATCCCAGTGAAGTCATCAGGCTTTTCACAAACATATGGGTTTTCCCCACATGTATTTGATTCCAGGATAAGGGCCTACAGCGTGCTTTTTTGTGCACTGATTTTTCACACGTATGAGGAGATTCAGAAAACATGCATCTTTTTCAACATAGCCTTTCTGGCACCAATTGGAGAGATTCTGCAGTATTTTGTTGAAGCAGACCAGCAGAGCTAGTTGCCATAGACGGAGCTGTTCATAACTGGCGAGTCCTTCACATTTTCTTTGTTAGGTCCTAGGTGGGAAAAATGCAGTTGTGGCTTTGGATTGCTATATTCATGACCAAGAAGGACATTTAAATAGCATGTGAATGGGTGTGGATTTTTGTATTTCCTAGAGCCAGCTTCTTTTAAATATTAAATTGCATACTCTGGGAAGATAGTTGCTGTATCAACATTGGTATAATGACACATTATTAAAAAATCAATATCCAGTTATAGAAACAAGTCCTGGTGTAAGCAGTTGGGTGCTTACAGCTGCGATTTGTATGTATTTGCAAATGTAATGGGCTTTTTTTTCTTGTAGCACTGGTAACTTGGATAAACACTGTGTATGTGACTCATTGCAGAGTATAAACTTATTTTAAAGGAACAAGTGTGGGATTTGCTGAATATCCTATTGCTTGCATCCCTGAATACTTGCATTAGGTCATGATTAATCTTAAATTGGCCAACCTGAGAGGAAAATTACTGCTGATCTCCCATAGGTGACTTCAGAAATAAACTGAAGGATGGAAGTGCTTTAAAAATGTAAATAGTAGTTAGAATTCGTAAAATCATAGAGCAAACATATGGTACAAGGTCTTCTAAAATATAGCACTTTAAAGCTTTTTTTATAGTTTCAGAAAGAGCTTGTTTAGTTATCACAGGAAAAGTAAATATTTCCATTCCTTTTGCTTCAGGTCTCTCTCATTCCATTCCTCTTTCTTTTTTTCTTTTTCTCTTTTTTTTTTTCTTTTTCCTTTTTTTCCCCAGAATCTTCTTAATTTGGTGGAATGGGGGACCAACACCCAATGTTCCTAGAAAGCCCTATTTGAGGGCAAGAGAGAACACTGCTAGTTGTCCTCCTGTTGTTAGATTCATTCTTGAAGTCCTACAGTGTCAGGACGGGGTTGATGTAATCTGAACTGAACGCTGCCGGTGTGCGTGTGTGGGATGTGATGGGCACCACAGCGGCTCCTGGACTGGTCAAGAACACACCTATTTTTTAATGTGGTACCCCAAGCATCAGTGCTGAGGGATGTGATCCCTGTGCGCGTGTGTGTGCATGCAGGGGTGGGAGCTCGTGGGGGGCGGCACGTCTCGGCATCCCCGTTCTTCTGCTGCATCCTTGGTAGGGCAGCCACGGTCCCCAGCCCTTCGAGCATCGCAGCAAAAAAAAAATGAAACGCTGCCACTGGAAAGGGGGCGAAGGAGGAAGCCGGGGAGCAGAGGAGTGAGGGGCCAGGCAAGGAGGGGGAGTCAGGGAGGAAGACGGGGCTCCGGAGGGAAATACTCTGTGCTTTGCAGTTGCTTGTGTGGATAGAAACCAGATGGTGCGCTGGAACACCCGCTCGCTCGGGCGGCGGCGGAGCCAAACATATGGTTAATGGTTAGGAGAAAGAGCTTTGCGAGCCAGGGCTTTGCTGACTGCCTTGCATTACAGATTGTTGCAGTGTGTCATTACATTGCCAAACTAAGTGCTTAATACCCGCTGCGGGCGCTGGGCAGGCATTTGCAGGGAGGATGCTGAGGCTCCCCGGGCAGGGCGGGAGGCTGACATCACGTGCGTCCCCACGCCCCTTGTCCCCACTGGAAACGCTGTAAATCTCCCCTTTTACAAACTCAAAACCTTACAGCAGGCAGTTTTCCCGTTCTGCGTGCCTTTAATCCATTCATTTCCGATGGTGTATGGTTGGTTTTGCCCTTTTTTGTGCCTTTTTTTTGGGTCCCTAAGCAGCCAAGTTTGTCTGGGCTGCAGCACGGCGCTCGCACGCCCGCCGTCCGAAGTTCCTGCTCTGGGAGCTTTGGGCGACACCAGGCCCATGTTATCTAAGGAACTGCTGAGCTCATTCATCTCCTTTTCACGGCCCGCTTCCTTTTATTTTTAGCCAAATCCGTCAGGCCTGACAGGCGGGTAATTTGAGCCAGAGAAAGGGCAAAGCTCCAGGTCCTTTCCACAAAGCAATTCTTCTCCTCCCTCCTGGGAAGGCTCCAAACTTGGCCTGCTCCAGGCAGATGGATTTGTTGAGTCATGTGAGATCATTTACACAAAAACAGAGCGAGGCA